TATTATTTGATCATTCTTGTTCCCTCACAAACTGTCCCCCTTTCTCTTACAATAAGATTTTTTCCTTTTTGAATCCTTTTAATAAAAAAATCAAATACAGGACCTCAGTTTCAATAGCTGCAATTGTCATGTGAAATCCTTATAATCTCTTGTTGACCTGGTCAGCCACTGAAACTCTATAAAGAGTTGTAATAGCCATGAAACTTGTATTTGTAGCATAGCTGATTATGTGAGATCTGTGTATTTATATTTTCCAATGAATTTAGTGATTGATCAGTTTGTGCAATGTTAATGGTCTTATCTCCCACAGGAGGTTAGTGTGCAAGAAGATAAGGTGTGGAATAAGCTGCCTCACACTTTTTTTCATCTGGAAAGACTTTAAATTTAAGACACTGAAATTGTCAAGTACTGCAAATACCATGCTATCAATGCTTCTCAAATTTTAACATTATTCAGGCACAGCTTTGTAGTTGCAATAAGCTTTGTTAACCTGCTATGTAGTGCAGATTTTGGGTTGTTTGCAGCCAAAGTGCCATAAACATTTTAACATTAAAAATAATTTGATGTTGGCAATAGGTGTGGGTATTCAGCAACTGATGATTTATACAAAATTATAGTTTTTGTAGATCGTAGGGTGGCTTTGTTAAACCTTTATTTGTACAAACACAGATTTATGGCGAATTTATTAATCCTGAGGAGGCTGATCAAGCATTCGTGCACATTTACCCAAAACATCATTAGTTACCCTGCTTTTCAAAACTCTTTTTGTTGTTATTTTCAGTGGAGGATACTGACTCTCAGACATGACCCATAGGACTTGCCAGTTATTGATTCCTCATCTCCTTACAGTACTGTAACAGATTCTGTGCAAACAAGGAAACTGAAAAAACCTGCTGCAAATGATTGATTGGGGTCTACTGACTTGCTGAAGTTGAAGGGCTGAGATGTCTTTTTCTGTCTTTAATTTTAAAAATGTTTATATTTTTAAAATATTTTTCTAAGATTTTTTTTTCCCCCCAGACGATTTTAAAGGAAAGGTCATCCTCATGCATTTTGCTGATCTTTCAGATAAAATGTAGCTGCTTGTTGCCACACTCCTATCCTGCCCAGAAATTACTTAAGTGTGCTCGTCTTTTCAGATAGATATAAAAAAAAAGCTTGCCTTGAAACATTTCGAAATGCAACCACTCTTT